ATATATATATATATTTATATTTTTTTATTATATATGAATACTCATGGGTTCCCACAGGATGGAGAAATTTATAAGGAAAAGAGTGCCTCCATTCCCACCCACAGGAAAGAATATTCTTAGAATCTTCTTCCCCGTGGCAACGATGCCTACAGCAAGGATCCCCAGACCTTTGCGGGTCTAAGAAGAAATTGCCATCCCTAGTTATCTATGTTGTTTCCTTATTGTACCAAAAGAAAATTCGAAGGATGATTGAACAATGGATTGGTCTATACCAAAATTGAAAGCAGGCAGAGTGTCTTACATGTTTCTATTGAATGACAGAGATGAGTTCAGTTAGAAGTTTACTTGCAGCTTCGTCACCACAATTATCTCTAACCAGAGTTTCCCAAGCATTCAAATCAACTCTCATCTTTCTCTTCTCCATCTCCTCCAAAACAAAGCAAGCATCATCAATCTTCCCATACTTCATCAGGCCTGAAACCAAACAACAAAATGTTTCTAAACGGGGACAGTGTTTGCTGCTCAACATTGCAGTCAAAACCTTCAAACCTCCCTCAAAATCCCCAGACAAGCAAAAGCCATCAACCATCATCCGGTAAGTTGCTGCATTAGGCTGACAACCTCTAATCTGCATTTCAGTCAAAACTTTATAAGCCTCAGCAACTCTGCCCTCCTTGCACAGATAGTTCACAAGTATGTTATAAATGACAACATCCGGCTTGAACCGCCTTTTTTTCATTTCACTAAGCAATGACTGTGCCTCCTCAATCTTTCCCCTCTTTCCAAGATCAGAAATCAGAACACCAAAGTTAACAACCGTTGGTTTGCATCCCCGGTATTCCATATCAAACATCACCTTTTTTGCTTCCTTGTACTCCCCTATAGAACACAAACCTTCCATCAACAAAGCATACGTTACAGCATTCGGGTACTTCCCCTTCTTAATCATGTCCTCAAGCAAACCTTTTGCTTTATCTACATCACCCTTTCTACACAAAAACCCAATAAGGCTGTTATATGTAACAACACTAGGCTGCACTTCTCTTTCAAGCATTTCATCGAACAGATTGCAAGCTTCTTCATATTTGTCCTTCTCAAGCAAACCCTTGATCAGTATATTAAATGATATCGAATTCAGACGAAACCCCATTTCATCTGACCTGTCAAAAATCTCTTTTGCATCCAGAAACCGATCATTATCAACAAGAACATTAAGAAGTGAGTTCAAAGACTGCAGTGTTCTGAAACAATCAAAAGAAGGCATTCTATGAAAAAGCTCAATGGCCTTATTGACCAATTGAGCTTTTCCATAATGTTGAATCAACGCAATGAAGAGGGTTTCCCTGCACCGAATGTTATAGTCTTGTATATAACCAATGACGGTCTCAACAGCATCGAAATCGCGACATTTTGCGAGCTTGTATACAAGTGAAGCGTATGAAGGATAATCATGCCTAAATCCCGATCGGTGATACTCATGAAATAGAGAAAGAGCTTCTTCTGGGTCTTGTACCTTTTTCACATCCTCAAGAAAAGGTGTGGATTTGCATTGCTTCTGTGTGGTTCTGTGATGTTGTTCCTGCTTGGATTTGGTTCTGGGTTTCTTTGGACCAAAGGTGTGACATTCTCGAGAATCTATGCGGGTTCTGAAGTGATACAGTAGGAATCTATGTGATTGAATTATAGGTTTTGATCTAGAGTGGATCATGATTCATGAAAGCCGAATTGAAATGATTTCATTGAGGTGAGACTCTTCTTTAGTTTTGATCCCGGTAGAAATTGCGTTCTCTTCCGGTTCTTCACTCCTCGGGATTTCAACGGAAAACAAAAACAAAACAGTTTTTGGATTTGGAGTCTTGGGCTACAATATTATTTGGACGGAGGCCTTGGTCCACCATTGCTGGGCTTACGGGCCCCATATTTAAGACCGCCGGAGCCAGAACAAAAACACATTGAAGATGAAGATTTTTCCATTACCTATTTTCTAAAAAATGAAGATGATTTTTTTTTGTTAATCATAGAAGAATTGGAAATAGTCAAAGAACAAAAAAGTTGAAGACTATTATTTATCATTTGTAATTCGTCAAATTACATTGTAAATTACTTAGGGAAACCCATAAAAAAAAAATACTAAGGTAAAAATCGTATCAAAAAATTACTAGGAGAAGCACTAGGCCTGTTGATCTAGTTGTAAGTACCCAAAAAAAACAAAAAACAAAAAGAAAGAAAGAAGAGAGAGGGGCGTTGAACCCGAGCCGAAAGTTTGATGAAGAGAAGATTCCGTCTCTTGGGTTCTAAATTCTAACCCTTGCCAAGGATTACCATCCAGCGCCTCTACAAAGGACAAACCCTGCATCTAGAATGGAAACAAAATGTACCACAGTAATACTTCAGAACACAGATATATTTTTACACTGTTCTTTTCATCCCTGGTTCACCTTTATGTTCAGAGTCAGGTAGCATCACGAACCTTGCAGCCTTTCCGGAAGCCTGAAATGAGAAAAAAAATTTTAAAGTGAAATAATAATAATAATAGAAGCAACAAATATGCTGTAAGAAAACATGAGCATAAGGACACACCATTGATGGGTGTTTCAAAATGGAAATCTTGCAAATATTGCTCCCACGTTCATGGTAGAGAAGAAGTCTGACATGCGGGATACTCTTCCAACTCTCTCCAAGAGCTGGCTTACAGATACCTCCCTCACCAGCCACTGTGTGATTGGTCACCTTCAACAAAAACTCCAGTTAATAATTATATAAAGATCGTGAAATCCACCAAAACCATTATTATTTGAAAGCTTGATAATTAAATTTGTAGTTTTACTGAATGCTACAGTTAGATTAGAAAGCAGTCAATCACAAAGCAATATAAAGATGTAACACTAAAAATTTGGGATCAATCATTTGGTGAAAATCATCAGTGGATACCAAACTTCATTCCAATGTAAAAGCAATTAAAGATGTATCTGCAGAAAGACTTCATGCTTGACATTTATCCATTTGAATATTGAACAAACCTCTTCTTTTCTCGTTAAGTAGAGTACCATCATCCAACTTTAGCTGCAAGACTAAAAGTATATCCTAGTACCGTAGTATCATGATTGAACAGAAAGCTAACAATTCCCAGCTAAGCACTTACAAGTACGGCGAGATTATGCTCATGTGCTAACTTTTTCAGCAAAAACCCGACAGCAACCATCAAAGCACGCCCTGTACCCACCAAGTATTAATTATGGCTCCTTACAATCGAAAAAAATAATAATAATAATAATAAAGTGATTTATTTTCTTTGTTAACTTTTTTGGTGGAAAAGCACAGTTTGGAGAGCTAATATAAGCAATTATAGAAGATACAAGAGGAAAAAGGATGCATACCCAGTGAACCACTGCCTCCAAGGACTGGGGTAATCAGTGATGAAACTGAATCAACTATAAGCAGTCGTCCATGACAATCTCCTTTGCCATTCTGAACAAGCAGTTGCTTGATCAATAACAAAAGAAAACGACCTTCTATTAAATGAAAATGTGGCAGATAACAGTTCATTTAATACCTGCAATTTCAACTGGAATTGTAGTTGATGTAACACATCGAACAAGCCAAAGATGTCAAAGACAGAGTGACATAATATGTTCCTCATGATGTTTTGCAAATTTTGGTATTTCACCTGCAAACAATGTAAACAAGTAGGATGAGATTGAGTTACCATTTAAAGTAAAAATGAAAAAAAAAGAAAGAAATGCTTCAGATACAGAAGAAATCATGAAGAACAAGAAGATAACAATATGTGAACAAGGGGATAAATAGTTTGACCTGAGAATTTGCAGGGTCAGAAGACTGGCCAAGGATCTGGGCAATGCGTTGAGGTGAAAAGGAGTTGCCTGTATCTAAATACACTACAGTTCCATTATATTTCCTTGCAACATTTGAGGCAACTTGTAGGCAAACCTTTGCATCAGTGAGAAGTATATCAGTTTAATCGAGAAAAATCCAATGTTTACTTATGAAGGAGGGAGTTCAAAATAATAGCATTATTATAATAATTTTGTTGTCCCAGTAGCAAAACAACTTCTCCTAGTTATAAAAGGAACACAACACAGAAATCTAGCCACACAACATGCTCTAACAAACATGCAAGAGAACCCACTACGGTACCACAAATTTAGTTTTCTGCACAAAAATATATGGAGATCATCCTTTAGGCTTTCATGTAATGTACTTCTTTGCTAGATGTTGCAAAAGGATTTCCCATCATTAGCTTCCATGAAGAAAGTTTGTTAGCCAGATCTAATTCTCCCAAGGACGTCCTAGGAGGCAAGGAATCTTATCCAAAAAAGTATGACAGCCCTAAGCAGTTTTTGTATAAAGTCCATACTTGTGTTTTACCAGAAGATGATGGTCCAACTAGTTCTGTCAATTGTCCCACACGGAATCCGCCATGAAGAAACATATCCATTCTGCATTACATGACAAAAATATCTTGTTAGATAACATGATAACATCTTATTCTGAATGTATCTAGGATAAACATGACATCAGTAAGTGAATATAAGTGCAGAAAATACTCTTCAAGTCCACTTGTCAAGAAATTTTTATTTCGTAGGGCATCTTCTAACAACTCCATACCATTCAACCACGGTTGATGCATGCTATCTATGATAGAGAGGACTACTGTAATGCCCTAAATCACAGATTAAAAACAGATCAAGGTGCATATACGGTACTAGCAGTCAATTGTGCTTGGTTAAAACAACCACAAGAGAAGAAGAAATCACATTAAGCCAACACCAAAGATTTCCTCAAAGCTAACCTGCTTCAATCTCTCCGAAGTAGGCTGTTGCTCCGCAAAAGCAACTAACACATAGAGGTCATGAACAAGGAAATCTTCGACTGCAAACAAACGGAATTGAAAAGCATAGAAAACCCTAAGCAAAGAAACTCAGACAAAAAACAAAGAAAAACATTTACGTTCATATGTTTACAGAGGTACTCCTAAAGCATAATTTATACTCAACTTTGCTCTGATAGTCTCTATTTTCAATTTTCTTAGCAACAACGAAGCAACCTATAGTCAAAATTTCATCAAAATCCCTGATGCCGGAAAAGAAATGCGCAGAAACAAAATCATAACGCAAAATTCAACGAAATTAGGTTCCCGAAAAGTTGTTTAAGCAGATTTTCAGAGAAAATGTTGAATGAAAATCTTAACGAATCGATATTCTGGAGAAAATAAAGATTCAAAATCAAAATACAGAGAAACTCACCTGAGAAAATGCCGTGAGAGGCGCAAAAGTTTCGAAAATTGGAGTCGAGCACCGGATATTCTCTCTCCAGATCTTTCAACGGCGCCATTCTCAGATGA